GGGATGGGACCTTTATCACAGTGTTTTGACTGGACCGGGCAGAGCCGGGTATGCCAGCCAGTACTCGATATTCGATTGTTCGCCATTTTTGATTCCGGACATATGCGACACTTAAACATTCGAATTTTTTCATTTTTGAAAAATGTTTACTTATTGTTACTCTTTTTAGTGCAAAGTGTAAACTGAAATAACTCACCAGGTCCGCAGGAAACTCATCGTCACTTGCGTCTCTCTTTATGATGACTTCAGATGACTTCTCCAGAGCACTTAGAACTCTTCGCTGCAAAGGATTGATGCCTCCGCTGGTACGCGGTTCCATGTTTTCAAATTCATTCGGTGCTGAACAGGCATAAAACCCAAACAATTTTTGAGGAACCTCGCTTACCAAAAGGGACTGCATGCATTCTGCCATCGCTATGCACACCAACGCGACCATACCGTTCGAGTGCACTCACGACCCTCTGAGGTAAGTTGACAAACAGCATATTCGAGCTAAAATTAGTATAAAATCACAGGAAAATGCATTACACATGATTATTCCACTATGGACATTAACACCGTGAAATTTTTCACTCTTATGCCTCCATTCTCCAGTCAAAACTGCTCTTGAAAATACATTGTTGATTTATGTTCGAATAGGTTCATTCGCATCGTATTGTTATACAACATCAAACGCTCAATAACGCTTGCGATGCAAACCATCGCCTCTGGACAGGGCCTAGCATAAGGGTGACAAATGCATCGTAGAACGACTTAACGCTTGTCCACTTGTTTTTTTTTCAATTCCCAAATCCCCCCAGCTGCTTAGGTTGTTCGACTGAAGCGCGCTTTCTTTCTAAAAAGAACCGGCGTTGTTGCTATTTCGGATCCTAACAGGGAGGATAGAAGAACTTCTAGAACCAAAGTTTCACTATATCTACTTTATACTTTACTTCAGGTGCAGAACAGATTTATGTAAGATTTTGGAAAAATTATGTGAATTGGAAGTTTGGCTTACTCAAATGAAGGTTGGGCAAACGCCTACCCAATTTGAAAAAAAGCTAAGCAGAACATGGTCAGAACTTAACCCAGCCATACCATGCAAGCTATAT